GTAGTTGGGATCCAGGGACGACCACTAGCACACGCCACACCATCCACCTCCTCAAGCTCGACCGTTAGCCGTCCACGCTCTCCGCGAGCGTGCTCTTGGGCTTCTCCAATGTCCTCGACCGAAGGAAAAACTAATTCCGCGTCTTCGAGGGGGCGAAGTGGCGAGAGATCCTCAACAGGACGAGATGTTCCACGTCGAGTGCGCACAACGGCGGCATGTACGGGTTCGGGAGAGCGCCAACGAGACACAATGTCAGCCCAGACATTCTGTTCGCCCGGAATGTGCTCAATAGAGTAGATCAGACCGCAGTGGCGCATGGACCAACGTTGCAGTCGGTCTCGAATGTGACGCTTGAGCTCCTCCCGTGGTGCGAAGATGTAGATTAAGTTGGAATGGTCACAAAAAAGCTTAAATCCCTTGCGACGAAGAAGGATATAGTCGAGTTCCGAGCAGGCTTGGATAATTGGGTAAGCCTCCTTCTCCACTATAGACCATCCACGTTGGTGATCCTTGAAGGATCCACCCTTGCACACAACCATTTGGTGAGCTTGTTTGGCGACCGGGAGTGAGCTGTCCCAAGTCTGTACCATCGTCACCACGATACTGTATCCATCCAAGCTTGCATCAGTGAAGACGCAGATCTCGTCCTCGTCACTTGGAGACACACGCAGGGCTGCAGCACTGATGAGCTGGAGTGCACTATGATACGTCGCTTCCTCGTCACTGGTCCACTCCATCGGCACGTTCAATGCGTTTCGGCTACGACGACCAATGCGTTTGCGTTCTGCATCCAGCTTCGCCTGCAACGGAGCCACCATACGCGCACAGCCCACCAGCGAGTCGTGCAACCAGTTCGACGCGCACACAAAATACTGGAGCTCGGCCACTGTGCTAGGAAGCGGTAGAGTCGAAAGGGCACGCACTCGTTCGGGGTCGTGACGTACGCCCTCACCAGAAATGAGTCTTCCACACCAAATTATCGACGTCTCATAGAGGGAGCTCTTCGGAAGGTTGAGTTTCAGGTTGTGCTGAACAAGCAGCTCGAAGAATCGCTGCAAGCCCTGTAGAAACTCGTCCATTGTGTCCGCGAATAGAATAACGTCATCAATTCAAACCATGGCGTTGCGAGGAATGAGCTCAGCTAGAGCGGTCTGCATCGTTCCTTGGAAATGCAGCGCAGAATCGACGGCACCCTGGACAACTCAAGTGGGAGTATAAACACCATCATCCGTCATGAAAGACATGATCTCCTGGCTATTCTCATCCAAAGGCAGCTGCCAAAAACCATCCTTCATGTCGAACGATGCAAACTTCTTCTTGCGAGAGATACTGTCCAATACCTTGTTTCCATTCGGCATGGTGCCTGCAATCGGCACTGTCCTGGCGTTCACAGGCCGATAATCGATAGTCAACCTATACTTGCCCGTAGTACCAGGCTTGCGTACAGGAACCGCCGCTGAGGCCCAGCGGGAACTGTTGTTCCTGCGAACTAGACCACGATCCAGCAGCTGGTGCATCGTTTCGCGAAGGAACTGGCTGTGGAGAGGCGCGTACTTCCTCTGTTTGCACCGGAAAGGTGTCGCTCCGTCCTGAATCGTCACGCGGAGTGGTTCCACAGCCGCCGGCGGTCCGAATCCAATCTCGTCCGCCCATACATCATGCTCAGAGGCCACTTGATGCATGACCTCTGCATACTGCATATCCATTCCATTGAGTAGGACCTTGTTTATCAGATCATCCACACACGCGATCTGCATGCCCGGCTCTACAGACGTCGGGATTGCATCACTCAAAGGAAATTCGTCGTCTTCTAGAGAGAGAGGGCCATCACCAGCGAGCTGAGCTAGCATCGCGTCAACATCAATCCCTAAACCATGTAGCGTGTCTTTACCCAAGAGGAGCTCGTC